ATGATAAAATAGAGATACCGGATCCGACGTGTCACCGGAAATACACATCACAGCGTGCACGTTCTATTTCTCGTCACTCTATCGTTTTCAACGTCGCCGCGGGATACGGGAAACTGGCAAACTCACCTGGCGTGGCTGGTTTCGAGGTCTGTGGTTGACACATTGTACTGGACGGAGACGGTGACGATGTCCCGGGTCGATGTCGTCGGCGAGGCTGGAGACGTTTGCGTGCTGATGTGGCTGGTCGTGTACTCGCGTTCCGTCGTGTACACCGCCGAGCTCGAGTCTGCTTTGGAAAATGGAAACGAGAAGAGAAACGTCAGCCGGTTGCTGCAATTACGCGTATCCGATTGGCCCGAACAGGGATAGTAACGTGCTACCGACAATATTTACGCGTGCGTAGGCCGGCGATATTCACGCGTGCGTGGCCAGCAGCCACGTTGCGAGCACCCCAAAGGAGGGATTCGTGTTTCGCGGTTTCCAGGGACAATTGTTCAATCATCCACACGCGTAACGAGTGTGAGCACGCGTGTTGAACGATGCCTCCCCCCTTCCCCCCGCTGTTAATTGCTTTCCTTTTTCAATTTCGTAAAGGGTGACACGCACAGGGGTGCAGAAATAAAGTATAAGGGTTTAGAAAGGAATAGAAAGAAATCTGATAAATATAGATGGTTATTTGTACGATTATTTATAGGAATTTGAAGAGACAATGATTGATTATAAGTATCATATCATGTATTTGATTGGGGATATAGAAATAGGATATGGAAAGGGATTTATAGAAAGGGGTAAAAAGAAGATAGATTAATTATAGGTGCCAAATATGTATGTGACTTTAGAGAAGATAAAATATATTGTATAGAAATTTATAAAGAGTTTAGAAAAATACTTGAAGTGAAATTTAAATATGTGTGTTGTTTATATAATTTATATAATAATATAAGATTAGAGTTAATTAAAAATATGATTTTGTGAATATAAATAGAAGTTTAAAAAGATAAATTCTAAATACGTTATTTGTTTGATTGAAGATTAATAATAATGTATTTAATTTTAAAAGAGATATATAGGAAAAAGAGAAAAAATTTTAGAGACTTAATTACAGGCATCATGTTGCGAAGAACATATAATTGATTTCAAGGGAAACGAATAGGGGTTTAAAGTAAATTCTAGATTATCATATTGAAAGTTAACAAGATGATCATTAATTATAGGTTTCATGTTACGAAGAATATATTGAACTTTAGGGAAAGTATAAAGGAGTTCGTTGTATGGGGATGTTGCACGAAAGTTCAGAGAAGAGCTTTTTAAGATTATGATATATGGTAGTTAATGTTAAGATTTCATGTTAAGATTATAATTATATGATCGTTAATTACAATATCATGTTAAGAAGAAAACGATTTTAGAAAAAGTGTATAGCATATATATACATTCTATATATATGTGATAAAGATCATATTATTTAATTTTGAAGAAATGCATTAGAAATACTGTTAGAAAATTTAGAAAATTATTTCAAAAGACATATTCAATTTTAGAGCAAGTTAAACAGAGAAGCAGGCCTATGTTCATTCGCAAGTTTATAAGGGCTTGAAGTAGATTTGATAGTGGTTGATAATGAAGTAGAGAGATTAAGCTGAGTCGAGAAATTACCAAGTTGTGTTAATTTTGAGTAATACTGGAGAACTTGCGAGAACTGTTGTCAGTGGAAAGTTAGATACGAAGTTTACGAGAATATTTGTAAGATTTACGAAAATAAAAAAGGCAGGATTCTTATGATATTTAATTCTTAGATATTTCTCGATCAAAAATATTTTTCTAAAATATTAATTCATTGACTATTTTCAAATATTTCATCCCCTAAATTAAATCTGTTTTCAAAACGATGCAAAATTATTACAATTGAAATTTCTATAGTATCAATGATCTCCAAGGAACTATCTTGACTAATCGTGAGTTAGTGCACACACGAAGCGTAGCATGCCAGATAGAAAGCTCGTTTTACGACTTTCGCCATCGATTCGCGGTTGAACTAGTTACAATATGTCTACCAGGTAAGTTCGTTAACCGCTTAGAATTCGTCGTTCGATCGAAGCGTCTGCTGTCCTCAAAAATAATCTTTGAGAAAAAATAATGAAACGAATGAACTGTTAAAATTCACATTAATCTTTTGAATAGGAATTTATTAATCAAAATTCAATTATCGATTATTGGAATCAAATTATTCTACACTACTATTTCCCAATAAATTATATAACATAGTTACTTCAACGAGATTATTCTCGAGTGTGAATGTAACAAAAATGGACGATTTTTCGTATCCTATCAGAATAAGAATTTCAAATTGTTTAAAGTCAATCTGTTCAATGAAGATCAAGGAATAGTAATAAAAAGGAAAGACGATCGTACCAGTCGGAAATTCTTACGATTTATTCGACGTGAAATTGCTTTAACCGCGATAAACGAGCGACAAGCAAACGATGAAGAGGAGAGGCTATTCCACGATGAAGAGCGGCGCACTGAAAAGATGTCGCATCAACGTCGCGTCGAACAGGGTAGTGCTATTTTCGTGACGGTCAACTTAACCGATAGCAGTCGGGATTGGAGGAGCTTTCAATGCATCAAGTTGAGAGATATGCAAATGAAGAGGACGCCCACGGGCTAAGTATTTCCATACGTTTTCCATATGTTTTTTTTACTTGTTTTTTCTTCTTTTTTTTTTTAGATTATTCACGTTTACTGACATAGAAGATCGGGCAATTCCTTTCTTCAATTACGAAATCGTATATTGAGAGAAGAGAGATCTTAGAGCAAATTGATTTCACTATATTATAATATATTATATTAAATATTAATGCTTTCTGTTTCACGAATTTCACTAATAGAAGAATTTTATATTTTATTTTATATTTTATTGTAGATTATTAAAATTAAAGATTTTCAGGAATTCAAACAGATTAGTCGCAATTTCGTAAATACTCTTATCTGTAATATTCTAACTCTGGAAAAGAAGTAAAAAAAGAATAGAAGATAAGAAGGATCGATATAACGATTGCAAAAAAAGAGAGAGAGTACTTTGACCCAACGACAAAATCGTGACTAGAAAATATTCCTGAAACTATATAGATATACGAATTCTTTGAAGATATATTCACTACGAATTCCTTTCAACAACTAAGCAAGCAGACACTCTTTCAATAATATTTCCACAGACCCCCGTTCGAACGGAATGCTAAAACCATTCCACCTCAGAACCTCGAACCTCCACTTCAAAGAGGCCATCGAACAAATTTCCGATGCATACTCGGTCAATAAAAATCTATCGAAAACCGCACACACAAATGTCTTGGAAATACTTCGTCTGGCGTGTGCAGGTAGTAGTACATACTAGAAAGTGAACGAGAGGAAACCATGCGCGGAAGATCAATACTGATAGTGTGATAGTGTGTTTCGTTCGGGAGTTTAAATCAAGTGTTCTGAAAACAAGAGTCGATGGAGAAAAAGGAATAAAATAAAAAAAGAAAAGAGAAAGAGAGAGAGAGAGAAAGATAGAAGAAAGAAAGAAAGAAATCAATAACGATAGAATTAAAAATGAGATAAAACGGACCAGTGGTCGATGTGACAAATATCTCCTCAGTGGTGACTGGTTCTCCGGAACCTTCCTCACAATCTTCCTCGTCGTCGCAGGAAGGACGCTCCTGAATATTCTCTTTATGGTGCTTCGGCCTAAATGTCGTCGGCGACCTCGTTGGCGCGACGTACACCGGTGTTATTATGTCGTCTGCGAACAGAGAAGGGGTTTCATCATTGAAATTGCGTAGGATGGAATGCGACTCTCGCATAATTCCTATATGATTGCGTGGTTTGCGTCATCGGCATAACGGAAAATGAAAATGTGGTTAAAAGGGGAGAAGTGTGGATGCGGGATGGGCGATAATGGAGATAGAATGCGCGTTTGATTGGAACATTTTGTTCCCGATATCAGGCTCGTTTCAGCTTTCAATTCGGTTTCCATAGGAAACTTGACTGGTTTTCGATTTTCAACCGATCATTTAGGATATAACGGATGTATATATACATATATGTATGATGATCACATGATGGAGGGCGCGCATTGATGCATTTCGAATTGAAATAATGATATTATTAATTCCACAATAGGGATCATATATTATAGTGGTATTAACATGAACGAGGAGAAGATTTTTTTCAAATTAATGAGAATGAATTGGATTCAATGTTTCGTATTGAGCAGTGAAATTGGCATAGATCGTAATTGACGTAAATCATGCTATTGTTAGAATAAAAAGTAGATGGAGTATAGATATAGCGAGATAATAGGTAGATTTCGTGATCGATAATATGTAGATTTCGAAAAATAAAGTTAATATCGGGTTATAAATAGGTAAAAAGAGAAATTGTTTTAATATTTTATATATTTTTTATTTTTTTAATTATTTCAGTATTTTTAGAAAATATAATTTGAAGAATTAAAAATTTTAAAAAATTATGGTAGTTTCATTCAGATGTATTTATTATAAAGAATATTGAAATTATTATATTATTTCCTTAAAACATAAAACAGAAAATTGTAAAGATATTTATCTCGTTTGGTATTAATTTTAGATAAAGTAAAGTAAAAGAAACAACGACCTTAACTTTTAAACTTTATTAACTATTAATTACAAATGATTTTAATTTCTATATTCTAAAAAAGAGAAATTTTATAAAATGAGATAAAAGTAAAAATTTTAAATTAAAGAATGTTTTTTGAAAGCAAAAAAAAAAAAAAAAAATATTTATAAAAAATTATTTTCATTGAAAATTATATTTTAATAAATTCTATAATTTTTATGATATAAAATTTCTTCTTGTTTTCAAAAATATATTGTTACATGTATTAAATTTATCATTATTACATTTAATAATATCACATATGTAGCATTTTATAGTATTGTTTAATAAACTTTTACAACCATATATAAATTATGTGAATCTTTTTTAAAGTATAGCTTAAATTTTTTTTTTAAATAAGAAAATTACAAAAGTTCTTTATAATAACAAACACATTAAAGTGAGAATATAAAGTGATATGTAAAATTAACACAAAACAATAATTAATAAAATTTATACAAGGCAAAAATTAACAAACTTTATACAATTAATATGAACTTAATATAAATAAAATAACAAATAAAAACATAAATATATTATTATTTTATTATCACATACATTTCTTGAAATTCTCCACTATGATCTTTTTATCGTTTAAAATGTCACGCGTCTAAAATTACTTGGCGCCAGCTGTTTGCTGCATTTATAATCACTGGTCGTGCATCATCTTATTCTCTTAAAGGGATCGTATTAATTTAGTTTTTAGTCAGCCGGAGAAGATTTCCGAGCCGGGTGGCAGAGAAACTGAGGAGGTCGACAGGAAGGAGAAAGGTGGGGTGCCAGTCAAGGATTCTAAATATGCAAATGAATCGAAGATACAATCGGGCAAGCATGAAGACGAAAAGGTAGCATGCCATGCGATATGCGAACCCGATCGTGCGTGCATGTATCCTCCTCTGTCCTATCTTAACTCTTCCATTTCCGTCTAGAAATGTTATTTTTGTTTTATCGATTATTGAAATATAAATATAAATGATAGATTTTGTTTACATTATGTTTTACTTGATTAGACAATTTTATAATGTTATTTATTATGGAAGTTAAAAATATAAATAATTATTTTCGATAAGGATAAATAAAAATGATTTTAAGAAGGAAAATAGATTAAATCATTTTTAGGTTTCATGGTCTCTCAGCTTTATGATTTTTTCTTTTATATATAAGATAATAATATAATGATTAAATAGAATAGAATGGAAAAGAATATTTATAATTATAAAATAGGAATTATAAAATAAAGAAGAATATAAAATATAAATTATATTGAAACAACAGGAATATATTTGGTAGATTTGATAAAATATTTAAATCCATAAATTCTATCATAAGTGTAAGAAAAAAAAAATATGTTTAATTTTCATTAAGTTTTATATTTGAAATCAGTAACGAAATTATGTAATATGATTATTATAATTTTGATTATATTTAACTTTAAAATAAGTAATTTATTCTTACCAATTTGTTCAGCTTAAAGATAATTATAATTCCTAATTTAATTGAGATTTTCAAATTATGTGAAAGATTTAATGTGTACTTTTAAAATGATAACATAAACATGATACTTGAATTATTTATTATTATTACATTCGTATAGATATCTAATATAAAGAGAAAAATTATTTATAATTATTCAATCTTGATCACGAAAAATCATTTCAATATTATTAATATGTTATGTACGATAAATATTGTGCATTTTCCAACAATTTATTGATATTATTTATTTAGAAAATTTAATGATGAAAAATTATATGAGAGAATTCTGTAAAATTTCAAAATAATTTCTTTTTATTAATTATTATAATATTTTTACAGTTATTTTATTTTTAAAATTATTATTAATGAAATATATAATCATATTTTTATTATTTGTTAATATTTATTTTATTTTAATACAATTGATAACATTTTGATAAATTAAATAATAAATAATATATTTCATTTTTAAATTATATTCAAATGTTTTTTCAATTTTTAAATATTTTTCAATATAAATATCAATATAAATATCATTTCCTATTTGTATTAAATAATTTAATTTATTATATTTAAATTAATTATAATTAAAAAAAAATTTGGTAAGTGTCGTCAAAGGACGACAGTGCCTTACCATTTATATGTGTATTCCATCCTTGTCTAGGGGAGTGCTAAACGTCTCTCCTTTCATACTACACGTTGAGATGGCGCTTTTCACGCTCTTATATAGAAACGTACTGTTAAGCGACCACTTGCGAGAAAGTAGTTTTTTGTGAATAATTCGAAAATGACAAATCAAATTTAAAAATTATAAGGATAAATTTTACTCGGTATTATATAATCTATCGAATGATATAATATTTTAATCAATTCATTTGATTTCAAAATTTAATTATATCTATATGTATTATACACGTACAAATATATATATGTATATAGATATTATTTATATCATACAACAAAATAAATCATTGCCAATAAACAAACTAAATCATATGATATTACGATTTCAACTATCAATTAATTAATTTTACTATCATTATCCATTTTTGTTGATATCAACTATTATTTATTTTTTTAAAAATAAATAGTATTTATGAAATTTATTTCGAAATATTATATTATTCATCGAATTAAATTTATCAACTATTTTGATGTAGAATGTTTGACATATTTTTATTAATATTTTTTTTATAGCATTATAAATATTATTTTTAATATTTTTAATATTAAAATTTGAATATCATTAATAGATTTAATATTCTAAAGAAGTTTGCAAATTGAATATTTTTAATATTAATAGCAATCACATTAAGAAATATATTTTATTATTTATAAACATGCAATTGTTTACACATATTTCGTCAATAAAATCTCCATGAATTATTATATTTGATGTAATTGTTTTATCGACACTTAAAGATTGATTTATGTCGAATAATTTTTCTTTCTATACAAAATATTGTGTAATCAATTTTAGATAATTTTTAAAAAGTTCATATAACGTGCACGTATATAAAATATTGAAAATACGTGCGAGGTAAAAGAATAAATGTGCACAAGAAATTCCTCCGCGAGAAAACGTGCAGGAGGAATTACTTACGCCTTTTTAAATATTACTTACACTTACCGGAACCAGGCTCATAAATTGGTGTACATTCTTCGTCCTCATCATCAGCGGCACAACCACTTCCGGCGCCAGAAAATATTAGATCGTCCATGACTCCCGGAAAACCGGAAGCTGGTGTCTAGAATAAAAAAAAGATATGAGAATTTATTGTATATAGTTGAAAATAAAAACAATTCTTTTGAGATTTGAATGTGAGATGAATATAAAACAGAAATTATTACATTTCTAATATTGTAGAAAATTAATTTAAAATTAATTTAAAATTAAGAAAACTATTTGATATTTAATAATAAAACTATTTGATATTTAATAGTAGATAATTATTTTAAATTTCTATTAAAACTTTTGTACATTATCTAATATTTAATTTTGATATTTCAACAAACTATATTTGAGAAGATTGCATATTAAATCTTCATTATTCATATCTATATCCTATATTATCTATTCTAATATCCGTATCTAATATTGAACCATGTTATTATTAATAAGCCATTTATGAACATAATTAAATGCTGAATTTCAAATTAAAATTATATACAACAATTTACAAGGTATACCTATGCAGATTATTAATTAGAATTATATAATGCAGTAAAATCTCATATTAGAATAATGTTCTTGTATGAATCACATAATTATAAATAGTCTTAAAATCATTATACATATATTTATCTAAATAAAAATTTACAATGAAATAAATGTTTTTTGTGGAACAAAAATGATTTGAAATGAATCATGTCATTTAAAATTAATTAAAAATTTAATTTTTAAATATGTATCTATTATTTCTTTTTTATTTTATTAGATATAATCTATTAATGATATATAGAATAATGTTATCAATTATGTATATTGAAATTTCATTACCTGTTGCATTCTCTGTAATGGAGCTGCGCGATCCAGAAGACTTCCAGGAGGTAATAATTGAACATCTCCTCTGGTGACGACTCTTCCATCTTTCGAAGCAGCAAGTTCTAAAATTCGTGCACCATTTACAACAAGACCGGCAATTATACCCAAGAATGGCCTTTCCACTCTGCCTTTGTTGCGATTCCATCGACCGCCAATTTGAATGGTTGATTGACTATTGAACACCGTCAATTGACGACCTGCAAATGAAAGTAAACATTATTATTAGACAAAGATCTTTTCAATTGATAATTTAATTTCCCTTCAATGAGAAATCATTTTTAAATATAAATAGTTTAAAATTACATACATATTTTATGATGTGATCATAAAATGAATTATATTAATTAAATTAGAATTTTCAAGAAAATAAAGAATTATTACAAAATAATGTATTACTAATACCTTATTTTAAATAAAAAATTACATATTTTCAAATCCCAGATAAAATTAAAAAAGTTATATACAAGAATATATTTTTTTAATATTTAAATAAATTTATCATTAGAAATTTATCATTAATGAAGAAGTTACATATGATTTTTCCAAAATCATAAGAATGCTCTAAAGATAATAAAAAAATCTGTTAACTGATCATAGTAAGTATTTTTATTACGTATGTAATGATAAAAATCAAAGGGATAATTTATTCTGATTCACCGGCTGACAAATGTTTTCGTTTGACCACTTAACAGGCGAACAGAAGCTATTGGGTATAGCATGAGTAACCATTGACCGGTCCACTTGGCCTACAAGTAGTGTATCTTATAATTAAAGGAAGATGGAAGTGTAGGTATACTCTCCAATGTTTCCTACTCCTTCGCATGGGTTTGCTTCGAGCCCTTTCCCTTTGTAGGGTCTAAATTTGGTTGGTTTTGAGAACAGGCTAACATGATACGCGTGGAACTCTTTAGGGTTCGATCTGCCCTTTGTGGTCAACACATATACATTGCTTGCATTACCAGCAGATATATGTACCTCATTGTGATAAAAAGAAGTTCTCTAGCAAATTAAATTATACTTAATACTTAAACAAAATTCGTAAAAATTGAAATTTTGCATTATATTTTTAATATCCAATTTTTTGATTTCTTAATTGATAATTGATTTCTTAAGCATTTTTTTTATTTTATACTTTTATGTAAAATTGTGATTTTACATAAAATTATAAATTAGCTAAATAATTAGAAGATAGATAGACTTTTTTAAATATTTAAAACTAATTTTACAAACTAAATAATAAGCTCTATTTATTATTATTATGTATTATCTGAAAGATATTACATTTAAAATATTTAAGCACATTTATTTAAATATTTAAATTCTTAAATATAATAATTCTAATTATTTAAATTTTTAATATATTTTATATTATAAATAACATGTCAATCAAATTATTGAAGAAAAATTAACATAAATGATCGAGTTTGTCTTAATGTCATTTTGAACTTAATTTGTATTTAATGATACATTATAATTACAATTCTTATATAATGATATAATATTATGTTTTCAACCAAAATGATTTGTACATTCATTTTAGATATGTATATAAACAGGAGACACCAATCAGGCCAGCATAGTAGTCTCGGAGGTTCCCACGCTCATCATCTCGAACCATGACGATAAAGTCGATCGGCAGAGATCGATAATGTGGCTATTTTTTTATTAGGCGACTAGAAACCGAGGACGCAACCGGGACCGGATACCGTTCGAATAGCTTCCACCCACGTGACCTGCCATGGGCGAGTTAAATACCACCTTGTACTAGGAAAGCAACAAACCGAACGAGCTTCCTCTGGACTGGTTCAGGTGGAGGAAATGGAGCCATTATCAGGGCTTGACTATGGATAATAATTTTCGGTGAGCCGAGAAAAAATGAGCCTGGCTGACAGGCTTACCAGGATTGCAGAATCTGATAGGAGGATGTTCCGATATGTGTACCGTTTTAGGCACCGTAAAGATGGCCTCTCTCAGCTGCCCTTTCCTTATCTTTTGTTAGAATACAATATAACTTGTGTCAAGATCTATATTTATTAGTATTGTGGTTAAAAGAGAGGATAACATATAGATTAATGAAAAAGACTTTTTATTACGAATTTAGTAATATTATTATAATAAATTTTATATTTTAATTTTAATCTGATAATATTAAGATATTTTATTTATTTATAAATATATATAAAAATCATCAAAAAGTTTCTTTATTATTTATGAAATTATTACATAGTTTTATTATATTTTTTTTATATTATTAAGTATGAATTATTACGTGATAATTAAGCATTTTCAAAAAAGAATTATTTAAAGAATATAAATTTTCTTTAATAAAAATAGAAAATAGTAATAAATGATATGATTAAAGAAATTCTGAAATGTTTGTGGATATTTTTATATGTGACGTCAATCAAATTGACGTCATTCTTAAATTCATTTCCATTCGATATTAGATAAGATAAATGTATGAGATAAATGTCCATTGTTTACTACAAATTTCATTACAAATAATGATTAACCTCCTGTGTTTTATTAAAACGTTTTATTTTTTTATATTCATAAAATTTATATATTATATTTATAATATTAATCAATTTTATCTATTTAATTTTGTTTAATATATTTCTTAAAATATAATAATATAAAATAATTTTAAACAAATATAAATAAAAATTTATTATATTTTATGAAAATAATTTTTATAATTATTTATATAAATATATAATTATATAGATATTATTGAAAATTAATAGAATGAATTCTGAATAAAAATTTAATTTACTTTTAGAATTTTTAATCATATAATAAAATAAAATTTTATATTTTATATTTTTTTAAACTACGTTCCACATTATATACGTTTATTATATTTATTTTATGAAATCCGATATTATTTATTAAATTCTCGAGCAAAATGAGTTTATTAAAAGTAAGAATGTATTAAATATCATGAACTATTTATACACGATCAATATTAACCGATTAAATACAATTATTCAAATATGAATATAACATGGAAAAAATTTAATGATGATAGCTTAATATTTAAAAAAAAAAAGATTTCAAGCAATAATTATACTATTAATTTAATATATCTATATATGATTTCAATATATCTTACTCTAAATATTTAGTATTAAATAAAATATGTTAATTGATATTTGAATATAAAAAATTTATTATTAAAATTAATATTTCTAAAATATTTTTTAATTTTTATTCGGATATTTTTATTTTAATATTTTATAATCTTATTTGGAAAAGATAAAAAATTTGTATTACAATACAAGATGAAAATAATACAGTTTAAACAATACAGTTTATTATGATATAATTATAACTTTTCCTATTTCCAATTTCAAATTATTCTATTCTCAGTGTAGAATATATCTAATTTGTATTATTATTTCATTTATCGTTACAAACACGATAAAGTTAATCTTCAGTTAGTCTTCAGAGAAATTATTCTATAGTTATGTCATATCATAGATAACAGAAATAAAATTATATCATCAGCCATATTCATTCATACAGAACTCGACTCGAGTTCCACGATACATTTTTTTCCATCCACTTAACTAGCACTTGCCGACCAAGCATAGTGAATCTATCAGCGTAGTATAAAAATACAGCTGGTTGATCGTTTGTTTGACGTCATACTTAAGTGTATATCGAGAGTTATTACACCAGAAGAAACGCACGTGCCAGCACGCGTTCCGCATTACCACCTTGTTTCTTCAATGATTTCTTGTCAATGATAATGAAACAAGTAGGTGGACAGATGTCTTTTCGAAGGAAATAAACGTGTCACTCACACCGCATTCCGATTTGAAGAAGTCCAATAAACTGTATCACTTTATTAGGGGAACAGAAGGGCTATGGATGTGTTCGGGTTCCTTACTCGACCCAATCATGAAATTTTAGGCAACTGGAAATATCGAATGCATGACCTTTTGGCATCCTCTTTCAATCAATAAGAAACGACTCATGCGTCGTGAATTTCTTTTTTTCCGTTTCTGCTACAGACTCTTGTATAATAAGATTGAATATTATAATATCGAAATATATTTTGATCATTTATTTTATTATTAATACATATGTTTATATTTTATATTCAATTCTTTTTCCCAATTAGAGAATATAGAAATATAATATTTTTTATAAATTCAAGGAAATAATATTTATTTTATTATTAGAATTTTATAGAATTCAAGTTTATAAATTATAAATCACGATTTTTTAACACATATATTGTTATTATATTGTATGTTTCGTTAACAAAAGTCCATAATGTTTCATTTTATTTATTTTATTTTATATTTTTTATATTTTATAAAAAATGAATTAAAATAAATCTAGCTTTCTAGTATTTAACATTTTTATAAACATAAGAGAATACGAAAAGAGAATATGATCTTTTAAATGTAAGAATTTGATCATAATCAGATTATTGGAAATCATTTTAATATATTTGTTGTATTTTTGATTGAAGGCGTAAAAATCTCGATCGTCTAACGTTTCGTGGCAATTAGCTCTTGCGCGACATAATCTAAATTAATAAGTAAACTGACAGGAAAGTATGATTAACGTGGAGGTGGTGAACCCGAAAGTGGGTTAAGGAGTCGCCTTCGGTCGCTTAGATAAGTGGCGCATTCGGTTAAAATGGATCAGGAGAGAAGAATCAGAATGTGGATCGGATTGCCTAATATTTGGCACCGCCTTCGAGGAATTACTAAATCGACGATTCCGTAGCAATGGCGTCTGCCGAGAAAAGGAAATGAAGAAAAAGAAAAAGTTGGATTGATAGAAAATTTCATTAATAATAAAAATGAAATTGTAAAAATTATAATGATATAAGATATATTATTTGAATTCCATTATTACTTTTATTTATAAATAAGAAATTATTAATTGTTTTCGATATTTATTATAATGATGTAAGCAATAATAAATTATAATATATGTTAAATAAAGTAAATAAGATTTAAAAAATATAAATATATTTATTTACTTAAATAATAACTTTTAAGTTATATGACACTGATATGACATTAAAATAAAATAATAAAAAATAATAATACAAATATTATTTTTTATATCTATATTCATTGTTAGCTATATAGTTTAATATTCAAATAAAGATATATAATTTAAATCTATTTTTAGAAAATATTAATTTAAAAATTAGAAGTTTAATAATAAT